CATCGTGCCACGGTGGCGAGATGTTAACTACCTCGCCTGGTACACAGGAGGTCGTGGATTCAGTCCCAACACCGACCCTGACGCCTGTATATGTGGAGTTTGCATTTTCTGTCCCCCCATGATGGCACGGATTTTTCGTCGGGTCCTCCGGTATTTCCCTCCACATTTAAAATGAACATAGGTTTCGGGTATTTGGCTGCGACTATAAACGTCCACACGACGAGCCACTTCGTGCGAGCTATAATTTGTGATGGCCGGGGCGGCTTCTTGAAAAAATTGCCGTAGAGCTCAGTGGGGCCTTAAATGGTAAAAAAAAGATCAAAATCGGCAAATCGCGCCACGGGTCGCGGCTGCCCTCCTGGAGGTTTAATGCCGACTTTCAAGGTCGTCTGGGGCGCCCGTCTGTCGCTCTCTCACGCACACACGGAGTCACTCGTGGTCGCTTCTTTTTTGTTTGGAAGACCAAAATAATCTCGTTTTTTCTTCTTTGGTTCTTTCAGTAAAGTCACGTAGAATGAGAATGAAATAATAAATTGATAAAATAAAATAACACAATAATATTCTCACGACGTTTCGGCCACAACACCAGCGGCCTTCATCAGGTGAAGGGACGAGACTGTCTGGAGGACAGCGCTGTCGAGACTGTCTGGAGGACAGCGCTGTCCACTTGTGTTGTGGCCGAAACGTCGTGAGAATATTATTGTGTTATTTTATTTTATCAATTTATTATTTTATTCTCATTCTACGTGACTTTACCGAAATAACCAAAGAAGATGAATCCTTGCAGTCACGAAAGCTTTAAATCGAAATCTCGTTTTTTGTTTTTTTTTTCTACTGCAGAAGACACGACGTAGAAATTCAGAAATAGCCACGGCAATTGACCGACCCCTTTTTGTTGTTGTCCTGCGGTTCAAAACCAAACCTCTGGCGGCGCGCGGCAAAAATGAGCAAGCTGGTCAGCTGGCCTCGGTCCGGTAAACTTCGGCGGGGTTCGAGAACCTTTCCGATCACGCTCAGCGGTCGTGGTTCAACTCCCCCTTACTCCACTCGCAGTTCGGTAAAGCACTGTGCGGAGGTGACCACGTGGCTCAGCGTTCATGGCGCCGAGCCAGTCCTGCCGGGTACCTAAAGGTTGGATGCCGAGTCGGTGAGAATCAGACGCGGAGGCTTTGGTCATGCTGGAAGAATCCAATGAGCCGTGAAGCTCTTTTATCACAGATGTCCAGTAGGGGAACGGGTCAGCAAGTTACAGCAAACAATCCAAAAACACGATAGGAGTGCAAAGTATAGGAAAGGTAAACAAATCACGAAACTTAAACTATTTTTTTATTTTACCAGGTAAAGCCCACTGAGCTATTAGCTTCTTTTTCCGAAGTGACCTGGCCACAACGAAGTGGCTTATCACGTGAAAAATGTATAGCAGCCAAATAATAGTCACCTGTAATTAAGACCGCGTTCTCAAGTGGCGTCTGCATATCTCTATCATATTTGTTTTCTACCCTTGAATTCGGCTAGCCCGGAGAATTTAAACTATCGACTGAATTGACACGTGACAAACATCTCATAGCGGAATAAATGCACAGTCGATATACGTCTCACATCAGTGTCTCCACGTAAAAATTAAAAGTATTTCTTACACAACCCATTAACCGCACAGCCTTCTGGGGGGGGGGGGGGGGGGGTGGTGATGGGGTGCATCATTTCCGAATCGTTGATTCAAGATAAGCAAACCTCTGGCCCAGTTTCGACGTAGTGTCTCATCGGCTGGCTTCCTCGTGGTCTGGCTTCCTTGAATTAATGCTTGGGGGAGTTAACTGGCAGATGTTAAGACAATAGGTTCTTAGTTGGACACGAAACTACATGATACATGTAGTCCACTTATTTATTTTTCTAGATATATCTTCTTCTTGATGACCCCCTGCCGATGATGATTATTTTGAGTTATGTGTCTCATAGCAGAGTGTGCGAGGGTTTAAAACGGAGAAGTTCCACAAGCAAATTTAAACTTTCACAGCCCTCACGCCATGCAAACGCAACTTCTGTCTTGGGATTTCCCGTTGGATTCTTTGCCTCATTTCGCGGTGGCAGTCGTCAAGGTATAACAGTAACACCTCGATATACTCAGAAGATGCGTCCCTGGATTTTCATTCGTATATATTGCAACTTCGTACAGTGAATCGCTTGTAACGTTAGTACGATGAGGATGCGTTCCCAGCCTTAGGAACTTACCGTTTCCTACTGTAAACACTTTATAACTTACCATTCATATCGCAAACAAAGACAATTTATATTGAAAATAATATTACATTTTACACTGTACCGTATTAAAAACTCACGTAAATTAAAGAAACGTCGTGAAAAAACAACGTTCATGAGACTAGAAGTCCGTCTATCAAGGTATCACCGTTCAATTGCATGACGGCACATCGTGGGAGTGGGGAATGATAACTGTTGTACATTTAAAAACTACTCTGGAGCGCTCTTCCGGTGATTAATTTACAACGGTGGAGTTGAATGGCCGCTTGTTTCCTAAATCGAGGTGGATTACACTTTATTGTCGCTGATAAGCATGCATCACGGTGTTTTTTCTGGGGTTTTACCTCCAACCCTCTCCTCCCAAGGGGCTGCTCAGAAACCATAAGGGCAGGGCTGGCATCCCTCCCACAGCCACCTCCCCCCCCCACTTTCCACCGCCCACTCGCCCCCCCCCCCCCCTACTCTCAAATGAAATGTCCGATATTCAGCTGTAAATTAGGTGCTAAATCAAGTGGCTGTCAGCCACGCAAGCCCCATTATGCTCCCGATTATAGAGGACATCATCAGTCTGCTGCCTTCTGGCACAACGACAACAACAACAACAACAACGACTACGACAACAACAACAACAACAAACAGCAAAGTCGGCTCGCCGCGTAAAATGCCAATGCAGCCGCAAATGCCGCTCGCGCGATTGATGGAAGAAAATTGTTCCCGAATTTTGATTTATGAATGCGTGCGTTTATTGAATGGTGTTTTGACCGATTAGTTTATTATTTGCCTCTAACCTTATCGGCCGACGTACGCCTGGTCCCGTTGCACTTCTTTCGCACCGTACGTAGCCAACCGTGCTCATCGGAGTCTCGTGACCTGAGCAGGTTTGAGCCTAGATAGTCAGTCCTTGTATTTGGCAACCGCCACTGCCACGTACAAGGCTTGTCGTGCCAACTCGTATTCGTCACTCTTCAGAATATTATCACCATTACAATTTACATCAGGCGCTCAGTCACTCGCTCTCGGGCTAAAAAAAAAATAGTGGGAAGCAGCAGATATAAATTTTACGACGCGTACAGGACATACGTACTTTCTTCCTCTGCTCATATTTAACTCGTTTTTTTTTGTAGCGGACACGCTCTTGAGCGCGTTGCTCCCGTCTGTTTGGGGGTTGTATTTATTATTGAACGTAATCTTCTCCCCCCCCACCACCACCCCCCCCCCCCCCGGGACCAATGTAAATCCCGAGCGGAATCTAAATATCCCGCGCGTCCGACGAAGTAATTAAGATGCCAAAAAATGTGCCGATGCAGAGTGTGTTGAGCGTGATTACACTCTGCCCAATTACTCATAAAGTGCACGGTGCAAATACTTTGTCCTGGGCAATTAATGCTCACTTCTTTGAGCCGCGGTGCAGCTGTTGGTTTTAATCATTTTTTAAAAAAATATTAATAAATTCGTCGAAATGAAATGTTCAATTTTTACGAAAGCATTTCAAAGCAAGCTTGCACTTATGTTGAACTTGTTTCACACCATACGCAGCCAACCGTACGAATCAGAGGTGCAGGGGGAAGGACAACAAACTAAACACAAAAAGCAGTTCGAAAGAAATGCGTTTTCAGTCAAGTTTTATAAGTGCATAGCTCCAAGTGGATCCCTAATGTCGGAAGGAAGAGCGTTCCAGACGGTCGCAGAAGTGCACCTGAAAGAGTGTGACGCGGTGACCGTCTTTGTTCGACGGCCAGCCAGAAGCCGCTGCTACTAAGAGGGTGACCGGCAGTCACGTGATGAACCGTCGTGTGTGCGATCGACTGCCAACGGGGATGGAATGCACTGGGAGTTCTTCAGTTCTCTCTTAAGTCGACACGCCCACGTTAACGTGCACCAAGGCCGGCGAGGGGGATTTCCTACAAACGCAGCGGGTCGATGCAACCCCGTCGCAAAATTCCGTACAGAGGCAAAGGCAGAGGGAAGAGAGAGAAAAAAACGTATGGTCTCGAGACTGAACCCAGTGACAGGGAGTTGAAGCGGTGGATGCACTGGGGGAAAGAGAGTTCCAGACTGTGGGGGTAGCGGAGGAGAGTGACCGACCTCCCACTGAGCAAAGGTCGATTCGGGCGGCTTCAACGGAAGGTTCCCGCCTGCCAGAGCGAAGAGTGAGATGAGAGATGTTGGCAAGCGGCGAGTCCACGGAGGACCTTGAAGGTGGTGAGAGCGATCTTGAAATTTACCCAGGATTGAACCGTTTGGAGCCAGTGGTGGTGGGGGGGGGGGGGGGGAATTTGAATTTTTCAGTGACTTGGTCTCGTGTCGAGGGTGATGAGCAGCCCGGGAGAGATTTGATTGGGCAGCAACCAATTTAAATCCCGGGTATGGGTTTGACAGGTTCAGGAACAGGGACCCATGCTACGACATAAGTGTCCTACAGGATAACTAAATTCAACAAGCGCTCATAACACACTCGTGCTGTCTCTGCTGTCTGTCCGTCCTCCTGTCCGTGGCCTATACGTAGTTGTTGCCGCTCTTGTCAGTTGAAACACGCGGTTGTTTTTGTCCACATCCTACCCTTCGGCAAAACAAAAACCCGCAACCCTTTAACCGTCCGCACATATTGGCACGCGTGAAACCGGCAGCGCCGAGGGCTCGCGATGCCTCGGCCGGCGGCAACAATGCCGACGACTCTGGCCGGCGGCGGCGACGATCGTGACCGGTGACCGTCGTTCCGCCCCCTCCCACCTCCCCACGTGCAGCGTGGAGGGCGAGACGGGAGCCTCCGTCGGCGTCGACCGGCAGGCCTCCGCTCACGGGCCCTCCGTCCCCGGGACGCCGGCGCCGCACGCCCACCACGCTCCTCCTCCTCACCCCCACCAGGCGCACGGTCAGCGGTCTGGCCAGGCCGAGAGGCCCGCGGGGCCGGAGCGGCACCCGCCCCAGCTGCGGTCGTCGCCGCCGTCCTTCCACCACCCGTCGTCGGCGGCGGCGGCGGCGGCGTCGTCGCGGCGCCTCCGCCTGCAGCACGGCTGCTCCGTCAACTCGTCGTCGGCGTCGTCGTCCGCCTCTGCGTCGTCCGCCTTCGCCAAGAAGCACGTGGAGGAGGAGGCGATCAAGCGCTCGCGCTCGCTGTCGGGCACCTACGAGCTCTCGGCCGACCTCCAGGACAAGCAGGTGAGCCGTCGCGGACGCCGTCACCGCCGTCACCATCGCCGTCGTCGTCATCATTGCCGTTATCATCATTGTCACCATCGTCATCATCGTCGTCGTCGCCATCGTCGTAATCGTTGATGTCGTCATCGCCATCATCATCGCCGTCGTCGTCATCGTCGCCGTCGTTATCGTCGCCGTCATCACCATCGACATCGTCGTCATTGCCATCGTCATCATCGTCACCGTCGTAATCATCGTCGTCATCGCCATCGTCTTCATCTTCGCTGGAGTCATCATCGCCGTCATTATCATCGCCATCGTCGTCATCGCCATCGTCATCATCATCACCGTCGTCATCATTGCCGTCATTATCATCACCGTCGTCGTCATCGCCGTCCTCATTGTTGCTGTCGTCGTCATCATCACCGTCATCATCACCGTCGTCATCATCGTCATCATCGCCACCGTCATATTTATTCGGAAGCCACTCGAGCTATGGACTTTTAAATCCAGATTGAAGACTCATTTCTTTAGAGCTGCTTTTTGCGATTAGTTTGTTGTCCTTTGCCCCGCGCCTTCAATTAGCACGGTTGGCTACGTACAGTGCAAAAGATGCTGCTGAGCAGTGCCTTCTTGAAATTGATCTGCGATTGAGATTGGGAGCCGGTGAAGCCATCCGGGTTAATGGGTGCGACGCGGTCTGGTTTGCGGACATGGGCGACAAATTTGTCGGAGGCATTTGCGATTGTCCCGAGTCTGGAGGGGTGAGATGTCGCGGTCGAGGAGGCATGGGTGATGGTCTCAGCAGCAGAAGCACGAAGGAGATGTTGTGCAGATGGAGTTGACGACGTCCTGCCGAGTTGAGGTTTGTAGGACTAGAAAGGGAGTTCTGCATGAATGACACTACCAATGTTTCGATTGCTCCCTGCCAGCGTAATGCCACGGCTTCAGAGCTGCACACTCGAATGGAGTCCTTTATTGAAGGCGGACGTTTTTTTTTTTTGGTCGGGCCGACGAGGAGCGCTTCAGTTTTTTTGTTTTGTCGATACTCATCCAGAGGAAGTTGAAATCAATCTCCGAGATCGGGGCAGCATGCGGGGAGGGCCATGGGTCGCCGCCGAGTTCATTGTGGCCGACCGGCGATGCAGAATGCCCAGCCAGCAGGACGCAAACGGAGGTCCGCACGCGCTCGTGCCGACCTCCGATCGTTCTTCAGCATTGCCGCTGACACGGGAGGCCACACGCCTCCCCCCCGCTCCCCCCGTCCCCGCGCTCTCACTCACTCTGTCTCACTCACTCTCCCTCTCACTCTCTCTCTCACTCTCTCTCTCTTTCGCTCTCTCACTCTCTTTCACTCTCTCACTCTCACTCTCCGCAAATTCGTGAAGCGTTCCATATTTTTGGTGAGCCCGCACTGTGCCCTCAAACATTTCATGCACAAACCCCTGTTCTGTAATAGCCTCTTCAAAGGAATCGGGGAGGAGAGAACGCTGGCCCTTCGTTTCACCTCGGCAGGGGTGCGGACGGTCGGCGACCTCGTGAAGAGCCACAACCACCACCCCAAGTGGAAGGCCGCGGCCGAGATCAGCGGCACCGCAGGGCTCCGATCTATGCTCGCCGGAGAGAAGCTGTTGCGGGAGGCACTCGCGGCAATGCGGGAGCTGCGGCTGAAGCTGGAGGCACCTGAAGACAGCGGCGCCTCATGACATTCCTCCTCCTTCCCGGAGTTGCGCATCTCCTGCACCCAGCCTCCCGGGTGCTGTGACTCAGGGAAGCTGCTCAAACTCGCAGACTGCAGAGACGTGGCCCTCGAGAGTGCCCCAAAGAAAGCGCTGTACGCGCGCTGCATCAAGGCGCTCCATTGTCAAGCCTTGGCAAATCTCCCAGACACGAAATGGAGGAACTTTTTCTCTCCCCTAATCGAGGCCACCCCCCAGTGGAAGCACCTGTACAAGCCTTCCGTAGCAAAACTCTGCGGTGACCTCCAGTGGAGGTTGGCGCACTGGACGCTGCCCTCGGACGTGTGGCTCAGCAAAATCACCCCAGGGTCATCAGATCTGTGTTGCGTTCTGCGGTGCGAAGGAGGATCTGGGCCCAACAGTACTTGGGGTGTCCACGGCTGAACCCAATGTTCCGGCTCTTGGGATCCATTTTCAGTAAACTGGTTCATCTACAGGGGTGCCTCACCTGGCAAACAAGCGCCACGACCTTGTGAACTTTGTCTGCGCCCAAGCAAAGATGGAAGTCTACAAAACCCGGAAGAAGAAGCTGCAAGGCGACACGGACGATGGCTGCTCAGCGGTGGCGATGTTGAGGGGCCTGCTCGAGGCGCGGCTCCGGCTGGAGCACGTCTCGTACCACTCCTATGCCGGGGACGGGCACGCCGCGTTCCTTGAACGGTGGGGGGCCGGTCAGGCCCTCTGCACCGACACAAACGGTGCACCGGCGTTCACGTTTTGACCGGTCAACTTTAAGGTTGCGATGTGCGTGACGACACGGTGCTCGCATTGCTCGTGGTGGTGTGGCGCACGTGCCGCGGTTGTGCGATGGCGACGTCGCTGTACTCGATGGTGGTGACCCTGCATCGAAAGTGGCTCCAGAGCTGTTGCTGCTGGCAGCAATAAAATTGGTTTAGAAGTCAAAAGTCTCTCACTCTTTCACTCTCTCTCCCTCCATTTAACTCTCTCTCTCTCGCCGGCAGGTGGAGATGCTCGAGAGGAAGTACGGTGGCCACTTCCTGACCAGCAGGGCGGCGTCCACCATCCAGTCGGCCTTCCGCCAGTACCAAATGAACAAGAACTTTGAGCGGCTTCGCTGCTGCCTTTCCGAGAGCCGCCTGCCGCGCCGCCTCGCGCTCGCCTCCATGCGCTCGCAGCTCTCGCTCGAGGGGGCCGATGCGGGCACCGGCGCGGCCCGCTCCTCCCTCGGCGAGGGCGAGCCGGCCTCGGCGACGAAGGGGTTGCCGCCCGGGCGGACGCGGCACGGCGGCGAGCTGGCGCCGCACGACGGCGGAGGCGTCGGCGCCGCGAGCGAGCTGCCGCCCCGGCTGCCCCCGACCAACTCGCGGGACGACGGCGACGCGGCGGCGGCGGCGGCGGCGGGGATGCACGGCGGCTTCGGGCTGGCGTCGGCGCTCGACATGGACCTCTCGGCGCTGTCGGCGCTGTCGGCGCCGGACGACTTCGCCGACACCATCACGGAGCTGGAGGACGCCTTCTCGCGCCAGGTCAAGTCGCTCGCCGAGTCCATCGACGACGCGCTGGTGAGCCGCGGCTGCCTGCGGCTGGGCAACAGCGCCCGCCGGTCGGAGACGCCGCCCGCCCGGAGCCCGAGCGCCGCCGCCGCCCGCCGGGCCGACGCGGCGGACGACGGCGGCGCCGCCCCGGGGTGCGTGGGGTCGAGGGGCGACGCCGCGCGCGAGGAGGCCGGTGCCGTCGCCGCTCCGCCCGCTCCGCCCGCTCCGTACGACGACGACTACGACGCCGACCCCATGGCGTTCATGGCGGGGGACTTCCCGCTGCCGCCGCCGCCGCCGCAGTTTTCCCCGCAGCAGAGCACGCAGGCGGAGGGGGACGAACCCATTGCGGCCCCCCCAGAGGGGGGCCTGGACCCGACCCCGGCGCCGAGCGTCGTTGTGGCGCCGGTGGCGGCGGACGCGAACGAAGCTGCGGCCTCTGTCAGCAACGCCGTGGTGACGGTGGTAGTCACCGACCAGCACGGCGGGCAGCTGCAGCAGCAGCAGCAGCAGCAGGGGAGGGATGCTCGGAAGCAGACGCACGATGGGGGGGCGCGGGCGAACGGGGGTGCGCGCCGCGTGGAGCCCTGCGACCTGGTGCGCTGCTCGTCGGAGAGCCGCGAGGGCCCTTCGGCGGCGCGGCTCGGCGTTGGCAGGGGCCAACAGAGGCGCGTCTCCTGCCCCGAGTGCGGCGGCGCCGGCGGCGCGCCGGCGGCGGGGCCGGGCTGTGCCCGGCTCCCCCTGCTGACGGTGGAGCCGGCGAGCGACAGCTCCCTGGACGCCGGCAGCGAGCGGGCGGAGAGGGTGGCGCTCAAGCGGCAGGACGCGCGCGACGACCAGGAGGGCAGCCCCACGCACGGCGGAGCGGCGAGGTCCCAGCAGCAGCAGCAGCAGCGGCAGCTGCGGCAGCAACAGCAGCAGCACCGGCAGGCGGCCGCCGATGACGTAGCGCCCATAGTCATCGTGAAGCGACGCACAGGTACCGCAAAGTCGGCTGCCATTGCATGGTGAGGATGGTGGTGGTGGTGGTGATAGTGACAGTGATGATGAGAGTAATGATGATGACAATAATGGTGAGAATGACGATGGTGATTATGATGATGGTGGTGGTGACAATGACGGTGTCAGTAAGGATGTTGATGCTGAAGATGACGATAACGATGGCGACAACAATGATGGCAACGACGATGACGATCTCACCACGTAGGCCGGCACACCGATGGGGGCCACCTGGGCGTGAACGGAGGCAGCGCGGTGAAGCCGGCGGCTGCCCCCTGCGCGCCGTCGTCCTCCTCCGCCGCCGGCAACACCGGCACGCACCGCCGCGCCAGCCGCTCCGAGTCGGACTTCTCCGACGGCGAGGACGGCGAGAACGAGAGCGTCAACTCGGTGAACTCCAACTCGAACGAGACGGCCAACTGCAGCTCGGGCTCGTCGTCACGCGACAGCCTCCGCGGGGAGGCCGCCGCGGCCGCCGCCGCGCTCAGCCGCCCCTCGTACCACCGGGAGACGCGGCACAGCTGGGACTCGCCCGCCTTCAGCAACGACACCCTGCGCAAGCGCCACTACCGCATCGGCCTCAACCTCTTCAACAAGTGCGTGACGGCGGCGGCGGCGCCGGGTTAAGGGTCGCCGGTCGGGCGTGTCGTAGGGTTGGGGCCCCGGGCGGGGGGGGGGAGTGCGGGTGGCTGGGCTGTAACTTTGCGGCTCCGGGGCCGCGTGTGGCTCTTCAAGTGGCCGCTTCGTGCGACGTTGCTTGTTCAGGACCGTCGTCTCGTGATTCGCGTGCACTTGGAAAACCGAATTCTGAAGAAAGAATGTCACTTCTTGTCGCTGTGGCTTGCCCACCCCCTTGGGTTTGTGTTAGGAGGGCGCAGCGTGTGAGGTGCGGGTTTACAGGGGTTAAGGGTCGGAGGTTGGCTATTTGGTGTTGGATCAGGGTGGGCGGTTCGGCCTGAGGATAGGGAGTGGTACAGTAAGAGAGGGCTCAGAGTGAGAGCAAGAGAGGTTGGGGTTAGTGACGGAGTGGGTCAGGGTTTGGGAGGGAGTGGAGTGAGGAAGATATGATGTGTGAGAGAGGGGTGAGGGGGCAAAGAGAGGGGTGAGGGAGGGAGAGGGTGTAGAGGGGTGAGGCTGAGGGAGGGGTTTAGCCTCAAGTGAGTACCGTACTGAATGCGATGAGACCGATGGCATCAATGGGGAGACAAAATGCAGTTGGCCCCAAAACCTCGACCCACTATGTGCTGTAGTGGAATCAATAGGTGTTCACTAACTATAGGTGCTCCGTTTGCAACAGCACGGTTGCCACACCGCGTGAGGAATCGAGTGACCCGAGTTTGATTCCCGCTCATGGTCAACGCCAGTGAAGATGATCTGAACCGGTCCTGGGCCTCCCCGAGGTTGACTCGAACTCAAATGAGCACCTGGTGCGGTGTGCAAACATCGGCACTGAGACAAAGGCGGCTGGGTGTGGTGCTGGCTACTCACCCCCCTCCGTGTACCGTGCAGGCCTTCATCGATGCACGCTGACAGCACTTGCCCCAGCAGCCTGTTAAAGGTTATATGGGGGATCTTTGTCTGTGACTTCTGGCCCACACAGTAAGAGGGTAGCGCTTTCTCAGCCACTCAATGATGAGCTATGAAGCTCCGTTTTCACTGATGTCCAGAAGCATACAAGAACAATGTTCATCGCATTCCAGTCAAACTCATTCTTAATTGTCAGAGCTGAAAGTTATCCAATATTGAGTGGTAAAAATAAACGAAATTAGATTATTGTACGTGTGTGTGTGGGGGGGGAGCGGTAGTGTAGCGGGTTAGCGCGCTGCGCTATAAACCTGACGACCAGGGTTCGATTCCCGCTCAGGGCCAACATCAGTGACGGTTATCTGAAGCGGTCCTGGGCCTCCGCTAGGTCGGCTCAGCCTGAAATTCTGCGGTGTGTAAACATCGCCACTGGGGAGACAAAGGCGGTCGGGCGTGGTGCCGGCCACCCACCCCCTCGTGTAGCGTTCCGGCCTACATAGGTGCTCGCTAATAGCACTTGCCCCAAAAGTCTGTTGAAGGCTATACGGGGGGATCGTTGTCTTTGTGTGTTTGCGCAACACACCAGGCGAGCATAATTGTGGTTTGATATTCACGCACGTGTGAAGCTTTACCGATATTAATCCAGATTCCATGCAAAGTGCTCACCACAAATCAACCAAAATACCTTGCTGATCTCGTTAACCACGTCGTACGCTTTCAGATGAGCTTCTGCGGCCATCTGCAATGCTCTTCCGATATTAGGAAGCCACTGGAGCTATCCACTTATAAATAATCAAGTTTGAAAACTAATTTCCTGATAACTGCTTTTAGCGTTTGGTTTCTTGTCCTTCCATCGCACCTCAAATTAGCACGGTTGGCTACGTATGGTGCGAAAGAAGTTCAATATACATCCATACACTACGACACTACTATACACTATATTCTACCCCACTATACACTACTATACACTACACTAGTATAAACTACACTATGCACTACACTACTATACACTACACTACTAAACAATGCACTACACCTCAATACTACATTGAGAACACATCTTTTTTTAAACTGCTTTTTACGTTTAGTTTGTCCTCCCCCTGCACCTCCAATTAGCACGTTTGTCTACGTACTGTGCGAAAGAGGTTCAATGTACGTACAAACATTCTGTGTACGAGCCGAGTGACCTTTGCCCCACTGACCTCCTCTCCCCCCCCCCTCCGCCTCCCCCCGACGGGCGCAGGAAACCGGAGCGCGGGATCCAGTTTTTGATCGAGCGCGGCTTCGTGCCGGACATGCCGGTCGGGGTGGCGCACTTCCTCCTGCAGCGCAAGGGGCTGAGCCGCCAGATGATCGGGGAGTACCTGGGCAATCGGCAGAAGCAGTTCAATCACGACGTCCTCGAGTGAGCTTCCACGCGGACGCAAACACACACGCGCGCGTCAACGCAGGCGCGTGTGTGCACACGCACGCGGGCCTCGTCATTGCTCCGGCCTCCCGCCGTGCGTGTGATGTCGGGAGCGCATGTTGATGAAACGGATCGATTTGTTTTGGCGTCTGAAACGAGGCCAGGATGTTCCTTTTTCACACTCCGGGGCCACAGCTCTGCCCGTGGAAATGGGGTGGAGTGTTTGACGTGCGTGATGACACGCGGTGGGGGGGGGGGGGGGGAGAGAGAAGCGCCGCGGAGTAAAGTTTTGGGCTCAAAAGGCCAACAGTGTCAATTGTCGGCAACTGATGCCGGAGTCGTCTGACGTCAATTGCGTTTTGTTTTGTTGCGTAAGTTAAATCAAACGAAGGCAAGACGTCGACTGTGAAACTCTCCTGGTCCATGTGACCCCATTTTATACCAATCTGAGCGACGTGGAAGAGTAAGCCAAAACGCCCTCTTGAAGGGGCGCACTCTCTCGCAGGGCTGCACTTTCACTACCTCTTCACGTTCGTATTAAACGCCCATGCGCGTGCTCGTGCGCCCGTGTGCTTGTCCTGCCCAGCTGCGTGGTGGACGAGATGGACTTCTCCGCGATGGAGCTGGACGAGGCCCTGCGGAAGTTCCAGGCTCACATCCGCGTGCAGGGCGAGGCGCAGAAGGTGGAGCGGCTCATCGAGGCGTTCAGGTGACGACGGCGGAGTGCACGGCCAGGGCCGTGTTTGGGCTGCGAGGGTTTGGGTTGTGAGGGTTTGGGCTGCGAGGGTTTGGGTTGCGAGGGTTTGGGTTGTGAGGGTTTGGGTTGCGAGGGTTTGGGCTGCGAGGGTTTGGGTTGTGAGGGTTTAGGTTGTGAGGGTTTGGGTTGCGAGGGTTTGGGTTGTGAGGGTTTGGGTTGTGAGGGTTTGGGCTGCGAGGGTTTGGGTTGTGAGGGTTTGGGTTGTGAGGGTTTGGGCTGCGAGGGTTTGGGTTGTGTGGGTTTGGGCTGCGAGGGTTTGGGTTGTGAGGGTTTGGGTTGTGAGGGTTTGGGTTGTGAGGGTTTGGGTTGTGAGGGTTTGGGTTGTGAGAGTTTGGGTTGTGAGGGTTTAGGTTGTGAGGGTTTGGGTTGTGAGGGTTTGGGTTGTGAGGGTTTGAATTGTGAGGGTTTGGGTTGTGTGGGTTTGGGTTGTGTGGGTTTGGGTTGTGTGGGTTTGGGTTGTGAGGGTTTAGGTTGTGAGGGTTTGGGTTGCGAGGGTTTGGGTTGTGAGGGTTTGGGTTGTGAGGGTTTGGGCTGCGAGGGTTTGGGTTATGTGGGTTTGGGCTGCGAGGGTTTGGGTTGTGAGGGTTTGGGTTGTGAGGGTTTGGGTTGTGAGGGTTTGGGTTGTGAGGGTTTGGGTTGTGAGAGTTTGGGTTGTGAGGGTTTAGGTTGTGAGGGTTTGGGTTGTGAGGGTTTGGGTTGTGAGGGTTTGAATTGTGAGGGTTTGGGTTGTGTGGGTTTGGGTTGTGTGGGTTTGGGTTGTGTGGGTTTGGGTTGTGAGGGTTTAGGTTGTGAGGGTTTGGGTTGCGAGGGTTTGGGTTGTGAGGGTTTGGGTTGTGAGGGTTTGGGTTGTGTGGGTTTGGGTTGTGAGGGTTTGGGTTGCGAGGTGCCTAAGTGCTAACAGGAGGTGTAGTCTACAGTAACACCCCGATTTACGCCTCGCCCTTTTTCGTCGTTTCGCAAGTACGTCGTCACTTTATTATTAACACCGCCACCCGATTTGCGTCACATCAAACCCCACACTTACAGCATCGTCCGTCCTTTCTCGTTATCCGTCGCCTCTCGGCCGTCGCCTCCACCACCTACCCCTGTAGATCGCTTTGATTTGCGTCGTTTCGATATCCGCCGTCGCACCTTTCAGGAACGCGTCCCCGACGTGAACTGGGGTTGCATAGTTAAAGGTGATCGCACTCAGGATTTTGTGTGTTGAGTTTGTTGTCCTTCCCCTGGCACCTCCGATTAGCATGGTCGGCTATGTACGGTGCGAAAGAGGCTCAACACACACGTACATTGGAACGCCTTCCACCTTTATTCATTGCTGTACGAATCACCGCGTCGTCGCGCGGTTGTGACTGTCTGCCGTGCGTGTGTGCGTGCTCGCGATCGCAGCCAGCGCTACTGCCTGTGCAACCCGGACGTCGTGCAGCAGTACCACAACCCGGACACCATCTTCATCCTCGCCTTCGCCATCATCCTGCTCAACACCGACATGTACAGCCCCAACGTAAAGCCCGAGCGCAAGATGCGGCTCGACGACTTCGTGAAGAACCTGCGAGGTACGGCGGCGACGGCGGTGGCGGCAGAGGAGGCCGCGAGCTCAGGGTCACGTGGCTCCCTCCACCGCCCCCCCCCCCCCACCCCGCGCTGTTCAGTTGGGTCGCCCGGGGCGATCAGGAGCACGACGGCCAAATTGTGTGGTGACGTAGCGATGGAATGCTTGAGCAACCAGTTGAAGAGACAGCCACAAAGGTGATTCAGTTGCGTGCAACTGGTTGCTCAGGTGTGTAGCCGGCTTAGCGAGCCGGTTGCGCAACCGCTGGCGACCGGGTTGCGGAGATGTCCACATGCGAGCAACTCGGTTCGCATTACACCAAGTTGCACGCAACTGATCACCCCGATGGCATTTGCATGGCCTCCGCAAAACTCTGCGGGGGTGCGCGGGTTAGCGCGTGCTAAACCGTGCCGTTTTGTCCCACGCCACGCGGCACCGGGCCCAGGGGTGGACGATGGTGCCGACATCCCACGGGAGATCCTGGTCGGGATCTACGAGCGGATCCAAAAGCAGGAGCTGAGGACCAACGACGACCACGTCACGCAGGTCACCAAGGTGGAGAAGTCCATCGTCGGCAAGAAACCGGTAATGCCAGCGACGAGCCGTCCCTCGGTCCGGGGACATGGGGATAAAAACCATTAAACTATTTTTTTTTTATTTTCCCAGGTAAGGCCCACTGAGCTATATAATAGTTACCTTTTTTCATAAGCGACCTGGCCACAAATGATAGCCGAACGAAGTGGCGGCTTATCATCGCGTGGACGTGTTTATCAGCCAAATACTCTGAACGTGCGGTGGTTCTAAATGTGGAGAGAGAAACCGGAGGGCCCGGAGATAAAACCACACGGCCACAGGGAGAACATGCAAACTCCCAGTGTACAAGCGTCAGGGTTTGGTTCGAACCCACGATCTCCAGCATACCAGGCGAGGAAATTAACATCTTGCTACCGTGGCACTGGATCCCCTGACCCACGGGAAAAAGGGGGGACGTGGCGATACGTCGGTGCAGGAATACACGGTGCAGGGGAGCTTGCACACGAGGGCATGGGTACGGGGGGAACCTGAGCACCAGGGAACACAAGGGTATGGCTATAGGCACGGGTACACAAGGATCTGGAGAAACAGGTACACGAGGGCATCGAGACGTAGGTACGGGCTGAGTCGACCAGGGACATGCCTCGTATACACTAAGTGATGGGGACACCACCACCTTGTGCCAGACTAGGTGCACTTTGAGGCCACGTGAAGTGGCGGAGGCCCGCTGGCAGGAGGTCACAGGACCTGTTCCAGGTATTATGGGTTAACTGACTGGGACGACGGGCAGATGAACCGCCTGCTCTCCACACCGTGCCAACTCTTTGGCACGCACAACAAAGAAAAAGATCCCCCGTATAGCCTTAACAGGCTGTTGGGGCAAGTGCTGTTAGCGGGTAGCATCGATGAAGGCCGGCACGGCACACGAGGCGGTTGGTGGCCAGCACCACGTCAGACCGAATCGCGCGCGTGGCACGCACACACACGCGCGGGCGGATACGCACACACACACACACGCATTTATTACAGAATTACCTCTGGCATTTAATGGCCAAGTTTCCAGGGTCACTGCGCTTGCCTCTTTCGCAGCTCCAAGTGGGCGGAGCTTATTGGTGAGGGCGGTGGGGGGGGGAGGTGGCAATGCAATTCAGAGGGCCTGGCCCGAGACAAACGACCCTGGGGCACGTACTCCACAATTTTGCGCGCACCAAGTTTGGCGTTTAACGTGATCGCGTTCTCTTGGCTCCGGGCGAAAGACATTTGCAGCTCGGGGTGGTGGTGGGGGGGGGGGTTGCTCAAGGCTTGCGTTGTTACTTTGCTCGCCTATTTTTCTCCCACGACTTCTGTTCGTCTTCATGTGACAAGGCGATGAAGAGGAGGTTTGGCTCCGTAGCTTCCGAATTGTTTTCCCGGATCTCGCCGGCTGGTGACGTGAACTCCGCTACAGTGAGCTGAAGTAGATACGAAACAATGTTGTAAACGTTTGCAAAGGAGTTCTAAGCAGAACACGGCTATGTGCGTTGGCACATGGCCATGTAAATATGAAACGATGATGATGATGATGGTGATTTGTTGTGGTTGAGAGACTGATTAGAAGACTGTTAATTGCCGATGAGGCATTAAAAGGAGAATAGGTATCGCCTCATGTAGCCACGAATCATCGATGAAATGTACGCGCAGTCAGGACGAAAAGGAATCGATAAGAAGGAACTGTTTGTGTATTGTGGTTTGTTTTTAAGATCCAGGTAAATATGTTGTAGAACACTCCCTCTTCTTCAGACATGCCTCGTGGCCTCAACTAAAACGGAACGATGTTAACTTTTATAACTCTCACGAGTGATGTCACGGGACAGTTGACGTCCACCGTGAATGAGACGAGCACGCAGTGGTCGTGTTTAGAAGGTTAAAATACCCGCAGTACTAAACCATTAAACTAAACTTTTAGACTTTTTTATTTTACCAGGTAAGGCTCACTGTCGTTATACAGCTCTTTTTCAGAAGCGACCTGGCCACACATGATAGCTCACCACGTGGAAGTTCATAGCAGTTGCCAAATACTCTCTAAACGTCCCCCTCCACCCCTTCCTGCTACGAAAAACGTGACACGACCTGAACAACAAATCGGCTTCAGACTCAATGAGGCCTTTCCAGGGTACACAAGCGTAATATTGCTTCGACGATTTTTTTCCCGTATTCGAGTACTCTACTCTTCCCGGGTTAATAAGTAAGTGCAGTACGACGGCGATGACGAGGATGATGATTGTGCGGTGATGGTGCGGGTGACCGGCACTGTGCAGGCCCTGTCGCTGCCCCACCGCCGTCTCGTCTGCTACTGCCGTCTCTTCGAGGTTCCCGACCCAACCAAGCCGCAGAAGCTGGGGCTCCACCAGAGGGAGATCTTCCTCTTCAACGACCTCCTCGTGGTGCGCAAGCGCGTGTGTGTGTGCGTCTGTCTGCGTGTGTGTCTGTGTGGGGAGCGGTAGTGTAGCAGGTTAGTGCGCTGCTGTGCTACGAACCTGGCCACCCGGGTTCGATTCCCGCTCACGGCGAACACCAGTGACGATTATCTGAACCGGTCCTGGGCCTCCCCTAGGTCGACTCAGCCTCAAATGAGTACCTAGTGCAATGTGTAAACATCGCCGCTAGGGAGACAAAGGCGGCCGGGCGTGGAGTTGGCCACCAACCGCCTCGTGTGCCGTGCTGGCCTTCATCGATGCTACTCGCTAGCAGCACTTGCCCCTACAGTCTGTTCAGGCTATACGGGGGATCTTTGTCTTTGTGTAAAAAAACATCGCCACTGGGGAGACAAAGGCGGCTGGGCGTGGTGTTGACCTCCCACCCCCTCGCGTACCGTGCCGGCCTTCATAAAGTGCTCGCTAACAGCACTTTCCCGACCAGTCTGTAAAGGCTATACAGGGGATCTGTGTCTTTGTGTGTCTGTGTGTCCGCGTCTGTGGCTGTGTATGTTGTCGGGGAGCGGCAGTGTAGCGGTTAGTGCGCGGCGCTCGGACCCGGCGACCAGAGTTCAATTTCGGCTCACGGCCAACACCAGTGGCGATTATTTGAACCTTTCTTGAGCCTCCCCTAGGTTGACTCAGCCTCAAATGAGTACCTGGTGCGGTGTGTGTAAAATATCGCCACTGAGGAGACAAAGGCGGCTGGGTGTGGTGCTGGCCACCTACCCCCTCGTGTTCGCAACTGAAGGTGGTTTGATGGGCGGGGCGGAGGAGGGAGGCATGTCACACAGATTGTGCCAACATGTAAATTTGTATTTTCACGTCAGCCATCCTAGCTAGCTTAGCTCTCAGGAATGACATTTAAAACTCAATGGATGATCGATGCATGCCGTACCGAGGGCGAAAGAGCGCAGTCTGGTGTTGAGGCCTATGGAAGTCATTTCAGAAGCAGCTCCTTGGAGTCGACTTTCTGGGCCCGTTCTCTCTCTCTCTCTCAGTGCGAGGCTCTGCTGACCTGCGGGAGGTTCTTCGGCGCATTATCATTGCCTCGTGACTCGACTCTGCGAGTAGTACAATTCATATATAGTTAGCCGACAGTTCCATCTGTACAGGGATTGAGTATCATCCCTCCCCCCCCCCCCACCCCACAAGTGGTTTTCTCCGGGTACTCGTGAATTGCATTGGCCAAATCTACAAATAAAGGTCCACAGATCTTGGGAAATTATTGGCGTCGGTTCTGGCTGCCCTCCCACTTGTCTGAATTCCCGCTCCTCCGAATAACTCCGTCTCATTCTGCGTCTTTGTCTGAGAGTGCACATTCACGTATGTTCTAGAAATCGCGATTGTTGTGATCGATTGAAACCGAACCGAGTGCAATCGTACAAAGGCGGTCTCAGCGACGCCTCGGTTTAGTTTCTTCCCGTGGGATTTCTCCTGCAGGTGACCAAGATTTTCCAGCGCAAAAAGAACGCGGTGATGTACAGCTTCCGCCAGTCGTTCTCGCTCTACGGGATGCAGGTCCACCTCTTCGAGAACCAGTGTGAGTGTGCGAGTGAGCGTGAGGAGGCCCCCCCCCCCCCCCGCGTGAATGATTGACGCCCTGGTCCTAACCGGATGAGAGGTCCTTCAGTTTGGCATATTCCACCACTTCGTGTTGCGAAAGAGATAATCGGACGCAACAGCTCCACCTTTATTTATTTATTTATTTGAACGGACATCGGTCCCACGACCTTCTGGGGGTGCATAAGTTTAACAGTGCAGCAGAACCCCTCTTAACGACCTCCATAGAGCCCAATGTGTAGTGTATAGTGTAGTGCATAGTAGTGCATAGTAGTGCATAGTGTAGTGTATAGTAGTGTAGTGTATAGTAGGGTAGTTCTTAGTAGTGTAGTGCCTCCATAGACCCCAATGTGTTCGCTTACCGACCATTCCCCTGTTAAGGATGAGCTGTTGTAGGTACAGTAAATATAAATTAATGCATTGATTAACCATGTTTATTTTAATATTATGTATTTAAAATGTTGTTAGTATCTTTATGTATTAATAGTCATTGTTTAAATATTTTAAAGTAAGTCTTTTGGGTGAAAAAGGGTAACTTTCCATGCTGTCGGAACGAATTAAGCTTTTAACATGTATTTGCTATACTCGCTTAACAACCAAATCACTGAACGACCTGTTTCTTGGAACCAATAACTGTCGTTAAGGCGGATTCTACTGTGTTGATATTTCAATCTCTGTGCGATCCCCTGGGCATGCACCACCACTGGCTGAGCTGCGTCCGGGTTGCAAATACAGAATTATAGTCATTTTTTTTTATTTCGTAGGCCGATGGATGATGGAGGCAATTGCGTCATGAATTGTGGCGCAATAGCATCGCTCTGATGATGCCTCGTTCGTATTTGTGGATCGGCATTGTACACTGCCAGAGACCTTTTCGTTTATGTTTTTGTTTTCAACCAAGTTATCGGCATCTTGCAGCTACGGTCATTGTACGGGCGCGGTTTTTCACGTAACGACCGACCGCTTAGATTTTCTCAACCCTGTACTTTTACCGACCGACGCGTGGCGATATCTCAGACGTGTGCCCTCTCGTGGGTTCGTCTCTTGCCGCCCAGTCTACCCGCACGGCATCAAGATCATGTCGGCGGTGCCGGGCGCCGAGACCAAGGTGCTGGCGCTGTTCAACGCCCCGAACCCGCAGGACCGCAAGAAGTTCGTGGACGACCTGAAGGAGTCGATCGCCGAGGTTCAGGAGATGGAGAAGCACCGCATCGAGAGTATGTTGTCCGCGACGGGGGGACGCCCGTACACGCGTGCCCCCCCTGCCCCCCCGGGGGCCTTAGAGAGAGAGAACTCCCTGGGGGGTAGCACAGATGTCGCACCGGCAGCTGCCTAGAATGGCTGAACACAAAACAACTACAAACTAAACTAGTAAACTATTTTATTTTATATTCCCAGGTAAGGCCTACTGGTGCTAGAAAGCTCTTTTTCAGAAGCGACCTGGCCATGCATGATAGCTCAACGAAGTGGCTTATAATGTGGGAATTTATAGCAGCCAAATACTGAGAATAGGTTTTTCTCTTTTATCTGGCAACAAAACAGCTGTGTTAAGATGTTAAAACACCAAACTGAAACCTTTTACAAGGCATCATGTCTTCATTAACCACAATACTTGTGGTCAGAATGCAAACAAAAAACACACTCTGATAATATATGCATTGTTTTTGAAACTGATTGGTCCACACCAGAGACAGCTTGCTTTGGAGCCTCGTCTCAAAAGGTGTTAGATCAGATGACGCCAAAAGGCGTACTTTGTTGCCAGAAAAAAGGGGAAAACCTCTTGTCATATTTTGCTACTGGCAAAGGAGGTCCCGTGATGCAGCCAAATACTCTCAATGCACATTTCTAAATGTGGAGGGGAAAACCGGAGGACCCGGAGAAAAATCCACGCCACCACGGGGAGAGAGACACCGCAAAATCCAAATATACAGGGATCAGGGTCAGGAACGAACCCACGGCGATCGCCTGCATACCAGGTGAGGGAGTCAAAATCTCGCCACTGTGGCAAATCGTCGCGTGGGTCTTTTATAGGAGCAGCCAAATACTCTGAACGCACTTTGGTTCTAAAATCCATCGCTTCCTTCTGCAAGATGCCCCAGTTGACACCAGATACAACAACAGCTCTTGCAGAGTCTTATGACGTGGCTCTCAGTCATCCCTTGTTCTAGCTCATCCCCTTACTCTAGGTCAATCCCTTTAGGTCAGATATTCATCACCGATGTCGGCAGTGGGCGGGAATCGAACCCAGTTTACCAGTTTCCTAGCCCAGCGTGCCAAACTGTTCCCCCCGTGGCTTCTCACACACGCGCACACACATACACACACACGCTCGCACACAAACGCACGCATGCACGAGTCTGTAAATCCAATTTTCCCAATTAGAAAAGTGCAACTAATAGTGAATTAGGGGGACCATCCATTACCAGGCTTGGCATGAGACAGTGGCTGATCGATGCACCAACCGGGGCCTAAGCAGTCCTCCGCAACTCCCTCTTTGAGGTCCCATCACGATTCATAAATGATGACCGCTCGTGTGTGCCAATAGATTTACTAACGACGGGAAGATGCCTGCGTTGCGCGTACAGAGGCTCCCGCCCGGCCTTGCGCAGACCACCAGCACGGAATAACTGCACGTGTGGCCACGTTGAGAAGCCGTGGCCCATCCCATCGTCCTCACCAGGACTCACCTGGGCTGCGTGGTCCCAGATGTCTTGTGACCCCCATTTCATTCTTTATATTTTTTAAAGTAAGGTTTTGTTTGAAGCAGAAATGAATATGCAAAGGAAAACAAATGGTTGGGGTCAATTAATTGGGGGGGGGGGGGGGTCACAAGACATCTGGACCACCCTGTACAGTTCAGTCATCAATGTTCACTGATGACAAGCGTGCGTACAGTATGTCATTGGAACGGAATCGGAAAAGCACTAAACTAAACTAACTTTATCGGTACGTCTTGGGCTACGGAAGACATACCGAGGCTCCCGCAAAGCCATGAGGTCAGCTATCGCAGAGTGAGGTCGTGTCGCTTGCGGTTCTCTGCGGTGAATGCAAATGTCTTCAAGAGGCGCTCGCTAAATGGCGACTGTCCCGGCGCTTCGTCAGACGGATGTTTTCCAAAAGCGACTCGCAGAAATATTTCCCCCAGAGGGAACCACACTAACTGCAGCTCGCGTTTGGATGTCACGTGTTACCCGTGCGTTTTCGTTTGTTTGTGCGTGTGTGTGTGTGCGCACGCTGTGGACCAATTGAAAGCGTGTGTCATGCATGTCTCGTGTGTACCACGTGCGTGCGCGCGTGTTTTATGCAACATATTGTGGACGTATGATACGCATGTATCAAATACATGTCGTGTGTGCGTCGTGTTGTGTGTGTGGGTTATATGCATGTATTGTCCGTACATATCACGCGCGTGCATTGTCGTAAATTGCGTGCGTGCATCACACGCGTGAATCATCCTCGTGCATTGCGCGTACATATACATCACACGCGTGCGCTACCCTCGTGTCTTGTGTGCGCTTGTGTCGTGCGGCCGCATTACCACCCTCCCACCACCGCCGCCGCCGTTGCCGCCGCCACCACAGCCGAGCTGGAGAAGCAGAAGGGCGTCGTGCGCGTCGGCGGCCAGGGCCAGGGCCGCTCGGGCAGCAAGAAGGAGAGCGGCGCCCGGTGCCGGGCCCGCGGCGCCAGCAACAACGGCGCGCTGGGGGGGCGGGCGAGCATGGACGACGGCTACGGCTACGCGGCCGGCGAGGGCCTCAAGCGCAGCACGCTCAGCAGCTCGCTGCGGGACCTCTCCGACGTGGGTACGTACCCTCGCCCGCCCCGCACGTACCGCGGACTCGCGGGCTCACATAAGGGACGTACCGCAGACTCGTAGGGTCACCTGGAGAAGTACCGCGGATTCGCAGGGTCACCTGGAGAAGTACCGCGGACTGGTAGGCTCACCTGGGGACGTACCGTGGACTCGCAGGCTCACAGAGACCACGCAGGAAAGTTTCCAAAGCAGCCTCGAGAAGTAGCGACAATGTGGCTGGACACACCTCCCAAAATTGCTACGAGATGAATGACCAAAGTATTGCACACGGCGAAGTGATACAGCATCCTTCATGCACACCTGGAATATTGTAACGAGACAATTCACCAAGTGTTACTCGTGTCGAACTGATGCTGCATCAAGTAACAAAAAAAGCAACGCGTTCATTAAGTAATGCTGTGTGTGTGTGGCCTTAAATGACAAAAAATAATAATAATAATAATCAGCGACGTTTCTGGCAATGGCCCTTCTGCGCAGCTCGTGTCCCCACTTGCCGACGTCACGTCGCCAAACAAATTCGATGCAGCAGCAGCCCCTTAATTGGTCATCGCGCGACGACGATGACGCCGTCACGAGTTCGTAGCGGCCGTGCCACGGTGGCCGTAAGCGGCGGCACGGCAGGCTCGGCGAGCCGCGTCGCGTGAAGCAGCGAGTGCGTCCACGTGCGGGGTGAGGCGCGCCCGCTTGCAGGACGATGGGACGGGTGCCTGTGGGAAAAGGCAGGCAGTGCAGCTAGCAGGATTGCGAGCGGATCTGCGCGTCTGAGTATTCTGCTCTCGAATACTCGGCGAGTCTCTCCCTCGTGAATAGCCGGTGTCTCCCGCTGAATTATTGCCGCAATTGTCAGGGCTTTTTGATGTCCGTGTCGATTATTATCCGCTTATTGATCCAGTGTCTGAAGCAATCGTGCTCAGTTAAATGCTTTTTTTGAGCAGTCGATTAAATTGTTACTTTTTAAATGCGGGTCTTTTTACTTTTTGCCGCGTGTTCAGTGCAGCCTTAAGCCGGGCCCACCGCCTGGGCCATCAGTTGCGCACGTGGTTGCTTGCAACTGAATCGCTCACGCCTCCGGAAATGATTGCGAACAGGTTGCGCAACCGGTTTGCTCACGGCGGAGAGACGGACTCTGCTCTCGTGGCATCGGTCCGCTCGGCAATTTGTGGCGATGTCCCCCGTCGCCGCGTGACAAAAATTTGCAAAGCTGCGATTGGTTGTTGCAATCCTGGTGTGAGTGGTGGAGCTAACCAGAAGTAAAAAAAAAACACTTCCTCGATGCGCAACTGTGCCCTAAGACATGGACAAAGCGGTTGCGGGGGCGATGATTGAGTTGCTTTGGGTTTGCCATGTAGTGACAGGCCAGTGGCCGTTTGCAGGGCCAGGCGCGAGTTACCCTGTTCCGCATAGGGACAGCTGCCACGGGGGGGGGGGGGTGAGGTGTGACGATTCGATGGTGCTCCAAGAAGCCCCCGGCGTATTAGGAGGGGTGGCTCTGTCAAACGCAAAATCTGCACGAAGGCCGATTTTTTTTATTGTACCTGGGCAATTTATCTAAACTGTGTTATATTATGTTTTATTTTTATTATTTTATTATTTTATTATTTCCCTTCTACGTGACTTTACCGAAAGAACCAAGGATATGAATTCCTGCAGTCACGAAAGCTTTAAATCGGGAATTATAGTAGCAGCCAAAAACTCTTAAATTCACGTTGATTCTAAATGTGGAGGGAAAAACCAGAGGGCCCGGAGAAAACTCCACGCGATCACGGGGAGAGAGACACGCAAACTCCCAAGTATGCAGGTGTCAGGGTTGGGATCGAACCCAGGACCTTCTGCATACCAGGCGAGGGAGATAACATCCCACCAATCGCGCCGTCCCCTCTGTGTCTGAATAAGATAGACGGCGAGTAACAGCGTGAAGTTATTTTCAGTAACATTAATTCGGAAACCATGTTGACATTGCATAGAGTAAATCGGCAACGCAACTCTTTGGGGATATTTGTGGCGGTGGCCTGTGGCGGCTTATCGTAGGCGTGGGGTTCCATGTCAGCAGTTGGAAAAGCAATTCCAAGTGGCCTTGTCAGCACTGAACGTCGTCGGCACGTCGATGAGAAAATTGCGTGCGAAATGATTCACTTCTGCCGCATTTAATGCAATCCCCGTCACTGTCAAAACCTTACCGCAGGCGATATTTACATTAAACAAGAGCGGAGTCCCTTGCCTACTAATTCTGCACACACGCCCGTACTTAGCAAGGGCACTTAAATTAATGTACTGTAATGTCTTATCGCTGTGATTAGAGGTGCATCATTCCCCAAGTTCACATCTTATCACACAGTTACATTTACATTTTGAATGCATTTTCGGGGGGAAAAAAAAAAACTGCCTGTAAATTGAATGCTCTCGGTATCACGAGGTGTACCGTAATGAGCAAGGGCCTTCAGTAAGGATGGTCAGCGATTGGCTCGGGGTGTAATGACTGCTGCGGATCTGCGCACGCTGCAGTGTGCCTCTCCCCTTGGTGGCATGGATTTTTTTATGGGTCGTCTGGTTTTTTTCCTCCACATTAGAAACACGCGTTGAGAGTATTTGGCTGGTATACAAGTTAAGACAACACTTCGTTGAGCTATCACTTGTGGCCAGGTCGCTTATGACAAAGAGCTATAAAGTGCTCAGTGAGCCTTACCTGGTAAAATAAAAAAATAGCTTATAAGTACATTCGCACATTGCCGTAGCATTGGCTAAGGCCGCGGGCCAAGTGCTTTCAGGTGCTCTTCCTTCCAAAATTAGGAAGCCACTGCACTTCTACATCTAGATTGAAAACTAATTTCTTTAGAACCGATTTTTGTGTTTAGTTTGTTGTCCTTCCCCCCACACCTCCGTTTAGCACGGTTGGCTACGTACGGTGCGAAAGAAGTCCCAACATACATACGTACAAGTGAGACTCATCGTGGCCTCTTGAGTTCCCCGCTCGGTTATAGAAAAAATAAAGTCGGCCTCTGTGGAGCTTCCTCATCATTGCAAACGCAGAAGCCCCCTACCCTTCGCTCTGCCGACAAACGCCGTCAGCAACGCGCCAGCAACTGACAGACCACGCAGCTGGCCCGCTTTGAACGTGCGGTGCGTTTTTACCCTCACGGTGCACATGGGGCTATCGCGGGATGAGGCGAGGGCGACAGTTAACAAGCACCACCACCACCACCCCCCCCTCCCCCCGAAAGTGTTTCATTTTCCGTGACATCTACTGAAAAAACCCGACGTCCAACTTGTCAGCCGATGGAGAAAAGTAAAAATAAAAAGTGCGTGGCAGTCCACGTGAAGGCCGCCGGGGTTTCCACTGGTGTCTTCAAGATGTTCTCCAAGCAAGTGAGTGGATTGTCGGCTCCCTCGGCGGTGTGTCGCCGCTGAGTGGGCGTCCGGCCTCCGAGCAGCGCAGACCGCCTCGTGCGTCTTTAATTCCGCCCCGTAATATTCCCCGATTTAGAAAACGCGAAGCGCGCGCGGGTCAGGGGTCGGTGATGACTCTTTTCAAATAAGCGTTCGATTGAGATTTGAGAGGGAAAAAAAAAAGCAAGCGATCCGATGGAAAAAAAACCATTAGAGTAAATAAATAGACAGAAGTCGCTGAGGAATCCAATTCAGTGAGCGGGTCTCAGGATAATTTATATTTTAATTCGGCTTATGGCCCTTGAATTCCATGCCAACCGGCACGCGGCAGGCACAACGAGCGTGCCTCGTTGTGCCTGCAGTCGCGCTTCCTCGCGCTGCCAAGCCCAATATTGGCTGAGGCTGGCTTTTTTTTTTCGGGCTCAGAGCTCGAAGAAGGGGTCTTCGGGCCTCTGACCCCCTCCAGGCCATGGCTGGACCCGGCCTTCCCGTGTTCAACGTTTTTAATTTACGAGAGCTGGGACGGTGGGGCGCGAAGACGTCACGCCGTATTGTTGGAGGCCAAGAACTTTCGAGGCTACAAACTGTGAAATTCATCACGGGTCTTCTTGCAGCTGTCCCTGTGGGTTTTTCAAGCGAAATCACATGGTGTCCATTCATTCACAAAGATCCAAGAGAATTATTCACAATAAGAGGGTTTTTGAGTCGGTGCGACAGCCAAATTGACTGCTGGGTGCAAAGTGTGTGCATTACATCAAATTACTTAAAGTTTGCTCTTCCCATTAGCAGCCTGGTGAGACTGCCACATTTACATAATGCACCAGTGTTCAAAATGAATCAATTAGTAATAACACAGATGTGTTAATTATTCAGTACATGACTCATGAATGAATGGATAAGCATGTCTGTTCGTTTATGGTCTTACATTTTTGCCGTTTAAGTATTTTACATTTAAACATTATTCATTAAGAGCAGAGATGCACCGAGGAGCACCATTTAATATTTAGTCGACGCCGGATACATTATCTAGGTATTCTTCCATCTGAATTTGAAGCTGATCTGTATGTTTTCAATAAACTGCCGACTTTTTCTGTTTCTCTCCATCTCTCTATCCCTCTCCCCGTTATTGCCTATTTCTCTCTGTCTCTTTGTCTTCCGATCCGTGTCTCTGTCTCAATCTCACCCTGTGTCCCTCGCTATATTTCTGCCCGCCTGTCTGCCTCCGTAGTTTTCCACGTGTCTTCTCCCCCTGTCCCTCTGTCTCCCTCTCTCTCTCTCTCTGTCATCCTGTCTTTGTCTCTCTGCCCCACTCCTTGTTACCTATCTCTCTCTGTCTCTTTGCCTTCCCTTCTGTGTCTGTCTCAATCTCACCCTGTGTCCCTCGCTGTATTCCTGTCTGCCTCCGTATGTTTCCACGTGTCTTCTCCCTCTGCCTCTCTGTCTCTTTTTCTCAAATATCTCACTTCGTCTCTCTGCCTCTGTGTCTCTTCCCGTAGCTCTGCGCATAGTCACTTTAATTTGTTTTCTTGTTCATGTGTTTGTTTGTTGCGGTTGCACTCAATTCAAGAGCCAAATGGCTCACAGGGCTATACCAAATAAATGAAATAAATTTAATGAAATGACTTCTTTAGGTGGCAAGAGCCAATCGTGTTGTCAGGCTCTTTGTTCCGCCAGGTGCTCGTTTAAAGGCTCAGTCGATCCAGGAAAGGCACAGCACCGTTTAGATATTCATCACTGATGTTGGCCGTGAGAGGGAATTGAACTCGTGTCACCGAGTCCGTGATGCAATGCGCTAACCACTGCACTACCACTCCTCACTACACACACACGTGCACTTTGACACACACACACACACTTATCCGGGTACATACACACACGCACTCTTGAAGGATTCCTCCTGTACGACCATGTCAGTTGTGTTCAGTGCTGTGGGTGCATCGCTTGAGTGCGTGTCGCCTACACGGAGCTGCAGAAGCTCTTTGCTCCTTGCACCGCCATCCACTGAACAGAACAGGAAGGGAATCGCCCACAAAATACCGGACGCTCCGTGCCCAGGCAGCGAGCCTGCCTTTTACTCCTCCTCACTTCTTAGCCACAACTGCCTTTTGGTTTGATTTTGCTCAGGGGGTTGCATTTTTTCTCTGTGATGTTTCGGCTCCTTTGATTTCCTGCACTGTTATTACGGGGGCCATTGCTCTCGATGCAAGATCGTGGTTGTGAATAATTCAACGGGTATTCTATTTTTTATCGCTCTTCCTCAAAAAGTGGCTCCGAGCGTCGAATATTTTTTTTTTATCGTGTAGAACACTTGCCTCCTCGCCGGCCGTCATTTGTCTCCGAAGTGGCGATGTTTACGCATCGCACCAAGTAGGCACTCATTTGAGGCCTAGTCGACCTAGGGGAGGCCCAGGACTGGTTTATCTAAGCGTCACTGGTGTCGGTGGCCGTGAGCGGGATTCAGACTCTGACCGCCGGGTTGTATGTATGTATGTCTGTATGTCTGCATGTATGTAATGTATGTATGTAATATATGTCTGTATGTATGTCTGTATGTCTGTATGTATGTAATATATGTCTGTATGTATGTCTGTCTGTATGTATGTCTTTATGTATGTCTGTATGTATGTATGTCTGTATGTATGTCTGTATGCATGTATGTATGTATGCCTGTATGTATGTCTTTATGTATGTCTGTATGTATGTCTGTATGTATGTCTGTATGTATGTATGCCTGTATGTATGTCTGTATGTATGTATGTCTGTATGTATGTATGTCTGTATGTATGTATGTCTATAATTTTAACGGTAGGTTTATTTGAACAGTGAGAGACAGAATAACAATAACAAAAATCCAGAAAATAGCATGTCAAAAATGTTATGAATTGATTTGCATTTTAATGAGGGAAATAAGTATTTGATCCCTCTGCAAAACATGACCTAGTACTTGGTGGCAAAACCCTTGTTGGCAATCACAGAGGTCAGACGTTTCTTGTAGTTGGCCAAAAGGGTTGCACACATCTCAGGAGGGATTTTGTCCCACTCCTCTTTGCAGATCTACTCCAAGTCATTAAGGTTTCGAGGCTGACCTTTGGCAACTCGAACCTTCAGCTTCCTGGAGACTGGCTAGGCCACTCCAGGACCTTAATGTGCTTCTTCTTGAGCCACTCCTTTGTTGCCTTGGCCTTGTGTTTTGGGTCATTGTCATCCTGGAATACCTATCAACGACCCATTTTCAATGCCCTGGCTGAGGGAAGGATGTTCTCACCCAAGATTTGACGGTACATGGCCCCGTCCATCGTCCCTTTGATGCGGTGAAGTTGTCCTGTCCCCTTAGCAGAAAAACACCCCCAAAGCATAATGTTTCCACCTCCATGTTTGACGGTGGGGATGGTGTTCTTGGGGTCATAGGCAGCATTCCTCCTCCTCCAAACACGGCGAGTTGAGTTGATGCCAATGAGCTCCATTTTGGTGTCATCTGACCACAATACTTTCACCCAGTTCTCCTCTGAATCATTCAGATGTTCATTGGCAAACTTCAGACGGGCATGTATATGTGCTTTCTTGAGCAGGGGGACCTTGCGGGCTCTGCAGGATTTCAGTCCTTCACGGCGTAGTGTGTTACCAATTGTTCTCTTGGTGGCTATGGCCCCAGCTGCTTTGAGATCATTGACAAGATCCTCCCGTGTAGTTCTGGGCTGATTCCTCACCGTTCTCATGATCATTGCAACTCCACAAGGTGAGATCTTGGATGGAGCCCCAGGCCGAGGAAGATTTATAGTTATTTTGTGTCTCTTCCATTTGCGAATAATCGCACCAACTGTTGTCACCTTCTCACCAAGCTGCTTGGCAATGGTCTTGTAGCCCATTCCGGCCTTGTGTAGGTCTACAATCCTTGGAGAGCTCTTTGGTCTTGGCCATGGTGGAGAGTTTGGAATCTGATTGATTGATTGCTTCTGTGGACAGGTGTCTTTTATACAGGTAACAAGCTGAGATTAGGAGCACTCCCTTTAAGAGTGTGCTCCTAATCTCAGCTCGTTACCTGTATAAAAGATACCTGGGAGCCAGAAATCTTTCTGATTGAGAGGGGGTCAAATTCTTATTTCCCTCATTAAAATTCAAATCAATTTATAACATTTTTGACATGCGTTTTTCTGGATTGTTTTGTTGTTATTCTGTCTCTCACTGTTCAAATAAACCTACCATTAAAATTATAGACTGATCATTTCTTTGTCAGTGGGCAAACGTACAAAATCAGCAGGGGATCAAATACATTTTTCCCTTACTGTATGTCTGTATGTATGTCTATGTATGTATGTCTGTATGTATGTCTGTATGTATGTCTGTATGTATGTCTGTATGTATGTATGTCTATATGTAAGTATGTCTATATGTATGTATGTCTGTATGTATGTATGTATGTCTGTATGTCTGTATGTATGTATGTATGTCTGTATGTCTGTATGTATGTCTGTTTGTCTGTATGTATGTCTGTATGTATGTCTGTATGTATGTATGTCTGTATGTATGTCTGTATGTATGTCTGTATGTATGTATGTCTGTATGTCTGTATGTATGTATGTATGTCTGTATGTATGTCTGTATGTATGTATGTCTGTATGTCTGTCTGTATGTATGTCTGTATGTATGTCTGCATGTATGTCTGTATCTATGTATGTCTGTGTGTATGTATGTCTGTTGAACTTCTTTGGCTCTGCACATAGCCAACTGTGCCAAATCGGAGGTGTGGAGGTTCAGTGCCCAGCGCGCTGACCGCTAACGCTGCCGCTGCTGTGATACGAACGTGCGCACCGCGCACAGCATGAACCCTTCTGAGGGACGTTCCCTTCCTGAACAAGGCGTCGCCGTGTCACCCACAAGTGCCCAAGCTCCCAATCTCCCAGGATGACGTTCCTCTGCGGCGTACGGTCTCGATTTGTGCGTGTTTTGTCAATTATTTTTTTGGTGTCGCCCGCGGGCTTTGCCGCCGCCTGGACGCTTGCGTCTCTGTGCCCCCTTCGCGCGCGTGCGTGCCTTGCGTGTCCAATGTGTGCGTGCGCGCGTGTGCGTATGTACCGGGCCAGGCAAGCGTGGCCGCAGGGGGAGTGCCGGTTCCCTAGACAGCAACATTGAAGTAAGTAAGCGGCGGGATCGCTCCACGATGCTTGGCCCTGCTTGGTGTGTGCCCGCCTGCTGCTCGTGTTTGCCTCGCTGCTTGCACGCAGTCTCGGCCGTAAAGGGACGGGGCTCCCACCTCCCAGGGCGTCGGGCGGGAGACAAATCTCGCGCGCTTGAAACCCGAACGGCCGCGCGGTGTAAATGGGTGACGTTTAATAAACAACAAATTTACAACAACAAAAAAAACGCACACCACAGCGGAAAGCACCGCGAGACGCTTGCCCTTCGTTGAGTTAGTTTGCCCTTCCCCGCACCACCGATTAGGACAGTTGGCTACGTACGGTGCGAACGAAGTTCAGCGTACGTGCGTGCGTGCGTGCGTGTAACTCGGCGCCCTTCACAATGGAATCGTCACAGAGCGCTTCACGACTAAACTTTACGGACGAATGCGTCCGTAAAAATTTTAGTTACGGTAAAAGGATAAAAGGTGTACGCAGTTCAAAAATATCGTAACTCCTTTCAATCTGCCGTAAATTTTTCGTAATACAGGCAAATAGACACACAGTATTGTATTCTACACCGTTTCAAGAAATACAATTCAAAATGCATATAAATATCTATCGGTCATCAATGCTGGGTATGCAAATAAGGGACATTTAAGAACACTCAAACGTTATCAATTAAAGGGTTTTAAAAAGAAAAATACCTCGGCATGCGGTAGCGGCATGCGTACAAGTTGAACATTTGATGTCTAGCGCCATACTTATAACAACAACAACAACAACAAAAATCCCCATCCGTGTAGCTGTGCTACTGAAAGCAGTTTCCTCTTACGTACAATAATACTGACGTCTCTTTCTTTTTCAAAGCTGGTAGAAGAATTCGATTTTGATGAACAGGGCCACAGTCATGATCAGGCCCCACCGCCGAAATCTTTACAGCCGTGACTGTGTGGGCGCCTCGCGCGTGTGTGTGTGTTGTGTTTTATTTTACTTCTTGCCGTGGTGGTGGTGGTGGTGTTGTGGCGTTGTTGTGGTCGTGGTGGTTTGGTTATTCGCCATGGCTTGTGGACTGCGTGGCTTGTTGCTGCATGTCTGTGGCCCTCTGCATCGTCGCACCGTGTGTCTTGGCTGCCTCCTCTCCCACCTGCCACAAGTGCCCACCTCTGCCCGGTTGCGCCGATCGGAGTGTCTCAGTTGTCAGGACGAAAAGCTGAACCTCGTCGCCATTGTGATGTTTTGCGCCGACGGTCTTTTTTGTACGTTTTTTCGATTCGGTTTCTCGGTTACGTGAAGCAAATACTTGAGGCACAACCTGAAGTTGCAGTTTGTGCGTAAAAAAATCGCATTTGATGCCAGAGCATGATTGGGAGCGCATTTGCACTTGGTGTTAGCAGTGCTGCAAAATAATAAGTAACAAAACCTCAACACATTCAGCAACCTAATCGCCTGAATAGGGTATATATATCTTCTGGGTTCTTTCAGAAAAGTCACGTAGAATGGAGATAAAATAATAAAAATAATAAAAATAACAGAATAAAATTCTCACGACATTTCGGCCACAACACAAGTAGCCTTCCTCAGGTGAAGAAACAGGACTGTCCGGAAGACAGCGCTTGAGTGAACCCTGCCAAGCTTGGAAGCGTCTTTTAAGCTGTGTGGGAGGAACGGAGAGCCTTGACAAAGGAGTTTACATATAAATTAGCATGTAACTGGGGGATTAGCATGATGTTGGTGTGGGAACGGAGGAGCGGGGAGAGGAGTTTACATATAAATTAGCATGTAACTGGGGGATTAGCATGATGTTGGTGTGGGAACGGAGGAGCGGGGAGAGGAGTTTACATATAAATTAGCATGTAACTGGGGGATTAGCATGATGTTGGTGTGGGAACGGAGGAGCGGGGAGAGGAGTTTACATATAAATTAGCATGTAACTGGGGGATTAGCATGATGTTGGTGTGGGAACGGAGGAGCGGGGAGAGGAGTTTACATATAAATTAGCATGTAACTGGGGGATTAGCATGATGTTGGTGTGGGAACGGAGGAGCGGGGAGAGGAGTTTACATATAAATTAGCATGTAACTGGGGGATTAGCATGATGTTGGTGTGGGAACGGAGGAGCGGGGAGAGGAGTTTACATATAAATTAGCATGTAACTGGGGGATTAGCATGATGTTGGTGTGGGAACGGAGGAGCGGGGAGAGGAGTTTACATATAAATTAGCATGTAACTGGGGGATTAGCATGATGTTGGTGTGGGAACGGAGGAGCGGGGAGAGGAGTTTACATATAAATTAGCATGTAACTGGGGATTAGCATGATGTTGGTGTGGGAACGGAGGAGCGGGGAGAGGAGTTTACATATAAATTAGCATGTAACTGGGGGATTAGCATGATGTTGGTGTGGGAACGGAGGAGCGGGGAGAGGAGTTTACATATAAATTAGCATGTAACTGGGGGATTAGCATGATGTTGGTGTGGGAACGGAGGAGCGGGGAGAGGAGTTTACATATAAATTAGCATGTAACTGGGGGATTAGCATGATGTTGGTGTGGGAACGGAGGAGTGGGGAGAGGAGTTTACATATAAATTAGCATGTAACTGGGGGATTAGCATGATGTTGGTGTGGGAACGGAGGAGCGGGGAGAGGAGTTTACATATAAATTAGCATGTAACTGGGGGATTAGCATGATGTTGGTGTGGGAACGGAGGAGCGGGGAGAGGAGTTTACATATAAATTAGCATGTAACTGGGGGATTAGCATGATATTGGTGTGAGAAGTAAGTCACCGTACAATAGTAACGCATTGTATAATTCAAGGGTGGAGTTTGTCTATGGATACGATATTATGCAATGTAGTTTAGATTGGAAGGTATAATATTGTATTGTATAGTAGTCTAGTTTATAGCATAGTTATAACGCAACACAGGACAGAGCAGCGCACCGTGGCTGTTTCCTCCTCTTCCCCCCCCTCCTCCGTTCCGAACATAGATGGACTCGTCCGTCTGAACAAAGCTCGTCGCTCTCCATGGTGCTAATCCCTCACACCAACATCATGCTAATCCCCCAGTTACATGGCAATTTATATGTAAACTCCTCTCCCCCCTCCTCCGTTTCCACACCAACATAATGCTAATCCCCCAGTTACATGCTAATTTATATGTTAACTCCTTTGTCAAGGCGCTCTGTTCCTCCCACACAGCTTAAAAGACGCTTCCAAGCTTGGCAGGGTTCACTCAAGCGCTGTCTTCCGGACAGTCCTGTTTCTTCACCTGAGGAAGGCTACTTGTGTTGTGGCCGAAATGTCGTGATAATTTTATTCTGTTATTATTGTTATTTTATTATTTTATCTCCATTCTACATGACTTTACCGAAATAACCCAGAAGATGAATCCCTGCAGTCACGAAAGCTTTAAATAGGGTATATACAGTCGATAATGTTTTAGGCAATGGCCTTTCTTCTTAGCACATAGACGATGAAGACAGACCATTGCCACGCATATCAATTTATTTTTTCTTTTTACGGCGGTGTTGTTGTTGAATGTGTTGAGTCTTTTTGTTATTTCAGCTGAGCACGCTCCGACCAAAGCCCTTCCCAACTTCAGTACTGGAAGTGTCCCAGCCAAAAGGTTCAGATAACTGGATAATCCTTCCCGTCGTTAGATGTTGAGTTTTTATTTCATGGCCTTTGGCGTCTGTGAAATACCAGACATCTTTTAAAAAAGAGCTTTGCAACTCATCGGATTCCTCCAGCGTAAATAAATATTCTGATTCTGTCCGATGCCCTCCGCTGGCACTAAGTTGGCTCTGACCAGTGCGCAGGGCCCCCATGTCCCCGGGCCACACAAGTGCCGTCCGACCGCTGCTGGCTCACGTGGCGCGGCACGACCTCCGCAGCCGTGGCAGAGTCGCCGCGAGGAGCCATTCCCGAAACGCAACGTTGCTCTGCCGCCGCGAGCGGAGAGTCCCGATTACGAATTCCTCCACTGCTCCTCCCCCAGTGGGAGTTTGTTTCAGCGCTGAAACCGACCTGGGCAAAGTACCCACGCTCGATCTGCCACGGCGAGCGGCGCAGATGTCGCTTCTTTTTGCGAGTCACATCAAGTGGGGAAAGCTCTCGGCGCTGCCACCTGCCCATATGTTCCGTCCTGTTTTCAGGCGGAGTGGATAATTTATGTCGGGGACTCCTTTGTGTTGTTAATTTGCGTAACCATGGGCAAGAGCTTGGGAGAAGTGTGTACCCCATAATGTGCCGCTGCTCGGCCTCGCAAGGTCTAAACGGGGCCATGATAAATAATGTCAGAATGAGTCAGTCATGCCCTCCCACAACATTTTAAGTTGTAGGAGGGCATGCCATGCCTCTTTTGTTCAAACGTCCCTGGACACTCATTTGATATAAGTGAAGGCTTGTTAGTTCAAAATTAACATTAACTTTTTTTCTTGAGCACGAAAATTAGTTTTTTTGCTCTTGGGATGAATGTTTAAATAGCGCCGCCTTGTATTTCATGAAACATAAAGGCAAGAAAATGTTCACGGAGAATTTGAGAGTTGACGTTCAATTTCTAAGTTGACTTTTCGATTTCTAAAGCGATCAAAACTGATTGCAAACTTTAACAACGGCAGAACTCAATTGTGTCCGTGCACATATAAATAACAATTTCTTTCAGTTCATTGGTCGATTCGCTTTTCAAAACCAGTCTGAGTTATTATCTAAACATATTTATAAATACGAATTGACAATCCACATATGATAATTATGCACATGCACGTGTATATAATATGCTGTGATCTATACACGAGATAAATGCAATACATATGCTAGGAGTGCGTGGAATATTAATATTTCCTCTGCATTTGGACAAATACCGGCCATATGTTTTCGCATTACGAGTCAGCCAAATACTTAAAATGTGAGAAGTCTATTTTTGTTATTGTTGATATCTCCATCCACTGAATGCGTATTTGAACAAACACCCCTGGGGAACATTCACTGGGAAGGTGCTGGCGGATTGCGCATTATTTCCCATCGTGCAATTCAACGACACTTTTCACAAACTTGCAAACTTTCATTGCATCGCGTTTGTGGTGGGAGCGTTTCACAAAATTTATAGATTGTGGTCAACATTCGGCCCTCTTTGCAAATAATTTTGACAAATCCTTTAAACCTACTTTGCACATGAAACGAACCGGATTGTCTAAACCATCACTCCAGCAAACCCAAGTCGGATGGGCAATCTGTGGTCAGGTGACCTCTACATTGCTTTAGCCCGAGTCCGATCTCCCGGCCTACGGCAAAGCTTCACCCTGGCAACTGCATTTGGAATCAATTCATCCAAGGGAGGGACAGCAGGGGCTTGCGAGAAAATCATTTTTACTTCAATTTAATGACCAGCTGAGGCTGCACATTCGACTCATATCGCCGGATGATTTATGCGCCACTTGCGCACAAACTTTATTGATTCATTCCCCCCCTCCCATGCCTCCTTGTTGAGTATGTAAATATGAGCGTACCATCGCGGCTCGCTGTGCAAACCCATAAACCAGTGGGAACTTCGGGGACGTTTTCTGGCACTCTTTCAAAATGTATTTTTTTTGTTTGGGATAAGAATGAGATCTGGGGGGGGTTTATGTATGCACCTTGTTTATCGATCGGTTGGCAATAACGTCACGTGCGACAAGCCGCCCTTTTTTGTGCCCCTGATTTGTGAGTGGGCCCTAACACCTGGCCCTAGCATCTGGCCCTACCACCTGGCCCACTCGATCCTGAGCTCGTTTGCACACTCCAGCGGTTCGATTCCCCACCGCGGCATCTGGCAATTCCGTTTCACTATTAAACACCTGACATTCCACACCAGCTCGGGTCACTGCGTCGACGTAACAGCCCAACTCCGAAAATGTTATGTTTAAATGTGGAAAAAAAAATCCTGAGTTTCATTCTGGTGTAATCTAGTTGCTCAGATTACAATGAATTCTAAATTTCCTGGCTATAACAGTGAGGGAATTCAATAAGCGTTGCTTATTTGCAAAAAAAAAATCCCCAAAACAAGCTCCTAATTTTACAATGCTACTTTTTTTAAGTAAAACGATCATTAAGTGACATTTTACGCTTTCTATGAAGGCGGGATTATTTGAGAACAGTAATGAGATTTTTTTCTCAATAACGAGACGCAATTTGACAAAAACGTAGACCGCATCTCGCAAGCCGCGGTTTTACAATTCGCCGAGACATCGCTCTCGTCGTGTGCGGAGTAGAGGAGAGCGCAACTCCATTTTGCAGGCGTGCCAGCATGGTCTGCTGAAGATGGTTTATGGAGCATGAGTTGTGGCTCGTGCTCCTGATACGTGCTTGCTACTGTCCCTGTGGTGTATTTTTAATTCGCTGGTGCTCCCAGCCAATGCGACCCCTTCCTGAGGCTGCCGCCTCATCTCTGCTTGCTCCCTCTATTTGCCTGATCACGTTTGTTTACTCATTCACTCCGGCCTCGTCGCCTCGTCCGGTTTTGGTGGCGGTTGCTCCATTGTCTTGGACCCCCCGTAACTGAC